TATTGCGAAAGCCTTTATATGCCCTTCCTGGGCCCACTGTCAACCATGAAATTATTACCATGAAAATTACCAAATTGACAGTATACAAAGATAAGGGGAAAAAATGCAACAGTGACGTACACTTTACATTTTCCTGCATCCAAGTATCACATTTGTTCTAGAAATGCCATTTTAGCCCTTGGCATCTCAAAGGCAAAATGATGGTCTCAAGTCTGAGAATGTCTGCTTGGATAGGATCCCACGCACTAGCAACCTCCTAAAAAGTGATCACTTTTTCCAAACACGCCTGTTGCTCCAGGCTATATCTTCTTTAGCAATAGTTTTTCAAAACCTTTCCCTCTCTTAACGTCATCATAGTTTCTTCGTTGTCTTGTCTTTTCATGTTTCTCCCATATGGTACTTTCTAGAGATGGAAATGTCATCTATTTGTCTAATGGAATTCAGAATGGTTTCAATACTGTAGCTTTTCTTTTTAGCTTGGTCTGTTACTTGCCTTAGATATATATGCCATAAAACACCATAATCTTGCACCATGTGAAATGCTATAATGCCATCTTTTTCTTTAAGGAGTTATTCTTATAGCAATTTAGGTTAAATAAATAAATCATTATACTCTAAGTTATTTCTATCTGTGTATATAACTTATAAAAACTATGCCTGTTATTGTGTTGCTCATTTTCCTAGTTGGCTTAGGGCCATCTGTAGGTCTCTTTGGCTCTAAGTTATCTGAGGGACACTGTGTTGTCAGCAAACATTTTTCAATTTACTCTCACACTGTCATGAATAAACATCACTGGTCTCAATACCGATTGCTAGACTATCTCAGCCTTAACTTCATCATCACACTCTTCAAATGGCATGGAAGTGTTTTTATGGGTACTCTTCTCTCTCCCAAACCCTCCATTTCATCCTCCAGAATCCCTGTTAAATGCTAAGCAAATTTATGACATGTTCCACTTCTTCACAAAATATTCCCTCCACTTGCTAATTATAAATGAAATCTATTCTCCTTTGAGGACATGGATGTTCTTTATACAACTCTCAAGCAGAAGTTGTTCATTCTCCCAGGACTGACATATGACAGGGCAGGGGGCTGGAGGAGGGGTGAAGGCAAGAAGGGCTTGATATTCTCTTAGCTTCTCATTGTGGCAGCCAAGTCATCACTTCTCTACCTTCACATGGACTTCTCTTCCTCTTTGAACTTCATGCCATCCAATTATGTAGCATCTTACCACTCCTTATGTCTGTCTTCTACTGGTACAAAGGTTAACATGGCAGAGGCACTTCATAAATAGGGAAGGAGTTCATGAAATAATCAATATAATTCCTCTTCAATCCCCATATTCATCAAAGATAATTCAGCCTCCCACTCCATCACAGGTCCCACAGTCATTTCAATGGTCCTTGATTTCCAAGTGGGTAACCTGTCTAAAATCCTCACCTCACTCTTTTTTCACACCTCAACTCCAATGGCTTTTACCTCACACTCATGATTGCACTGTGCTTTACCATCATTGAGAGCACTATACTAGCTCAAACAACTTAAAATTCTTCAAGTTTGTTCCAAATCTGTCCTTGACTCTCTTTACTTTGCTCCCTATCAAACCATCTACCTAAGCGTTTCTCTGAATTTTGATAACTGAGGACAACTTTATGGCCATTTAGAATATATGTGGATATTCAATAGTAGGAAAATTGTTTTTTAAAAGATTAATCAAAATTTCTAGCAATGACTAATGAGGTATTTTATAAAAATGCTCTTTCTGAGAAAAATTTTGAAATCTAGAGAGAATATTAAAACACACCCTCACCCCCACCCCCCCAAAAAAAACTCTGAGGATATTACGGAAATATCAGAGCAGAGATAATTTGTAGGATCAAGATCTGAATAAGAGGAGTCATCCCTGATGGCCTAGTGATTAAAGTTCAGCACGCTCTGCTTGGGTGGCCTCAGTTTGTTTCCTGGGTGCAGAACCACACCACTCGTCTGTCAGTAGCCATGCTGTGGGGGTGGCTCACATAGAAAAGCTAGAAAGACTTACAACTAGAATATATGACTATGTGCTGAGGCTTTGGGGAGGAAAAAAGAAAAAAGACAATGATTGGCAAGAGATGTTGGCTCAGGGAGAATCTTTCCCAGGAAAGAAAAAAAAAGATCAAGAGATCTAAATAAGAGGAAAACCAAAGAGAGGTAAGCCTGGTTTTTCGAGTGGAATGTGGATAAGAGAATGAGAAGGTAAGCAGAGATGTTAGTAGTCACCTAGATTCAAGAAGTGCTATGAGCAGTCAAGCACTATATATATATATATATATATATATATATATATATCTCCACTAAATATATATACACTATATACTATAACTATATATTAGTAAAGCTGCTAAAAAACAAAGACAAAGAGATCATTTTGAAAGCATTCAGAAGAAAAATGATATATTAGTTTCAAAGAAGCAATATAAAAAAACTTACAGCTGATTTCTCAACGAAAACTATGGAATCCAGAAGACAGTGGAATTATATCTTCTGAGCAACAAAACAAAATAGACGGCAACCTAGAATTCTATGCTCAGCAAATTTATTCCTCAAAGATGAAGGTAAAATAAAAGCACTTTTAGGCAAACTAAAATTATCTTTTTTAGCAGCACATATGCTCTAATGCAAATATGAAAGAGAGATTCTTAGGAAGAAGGAATATGATCCTAGATGGTATTTGCAAGAAAGAATAAAGGGTAAATATGTGAATAAATTTCAATAAATATTTATGCAAGAAACAATTATAATAATGTCTTTTGGGGCTTTATATATATATATGTATATATACATATATACATATATATATATATATATATACACACATACAGTTAATGTACGTGACAACAACAACCCCAAATGAGAGGAGTAAATGGAGTTAATGTATTTTAAGTTTCAAGCATTACCAAAGAAGAAGTAAAAGTAACAATTTATATCATACTTTAAATAATTCAGGAATGCATGTTGTGATCTATTGGGCAACTACTAAAAAGAATAATTAAAAGTGTACAAATAACAAGATAAGGGAGCTGGAAAACGTAATAATAAACATGGAATTAATTAAAAAGAAGACAGAAGGAGAGAAAAGGGGAATAGGGAACATGTAGAATCAATAGAAAACAAATGGTAAGATGGTAGATTTGAATCCAAATATGTTGGTAATTACATTAAATGTAAATTGACTAATTACATTAAATGTAATTGACTAATTGTAAATTTTTCAATTAAGAAACAAAACATTTCAGACTAGAGTTAAATAACAGCACGCTGCTTGCACAAGTCACATTTTAAGTGTAAGGATACAGAAAAGTTGAAAGTGAAAATATGGAAAAATATATACTATGCAAACACAATGAGAAGGAAGCTGATATAACTGTATTAATATCAATCAGAGCAGACTTTAAAACAAGAAATATTACTGGAGATAATGAGGGATATTTAGTTATACATGTCTATATGAAAGAATTAAAAAGAGAAACAGATAAATCCATAAACATAAGGGAAAGTTTTAACATACTCTACTCTGTAACTGATAGAGCAGCAGACAAAAAGATCAGTAAGACTACAAATTAATTGAATAGCATAAGTTAAGAAACTTAATGAACAAATATAGAACATTTACCCGACAACTGTAGAGTACACATTCTTATCAAACATATATGGAGAATTTACCAAAATTGTCTGTATGTCAGGCCACAAATTTAAAATAATTAAAATTATATGGAGCATTCTTAGGCTGCAATTGAATTAAACAGAAATTAATAACAAAAAGCTAGAAACCCGTAAAATATTTTGATATTTTTTCCTCCTAAAGCCCCAGTACATCGTTGTATATTCTAGTTGTAGGTCATTCGATTTCTTCTACGTAGGATGCTGCCACAGCATGGCTTGACAAGTGGTGTGTAGGTCCGTGCCCAGGATCCAAAGTGGTGAACCCCAGGCCACTGAAGCAGAGTGTGTGAACTTAACCACTCAGCCATAGGGCCAGCCCAAATATTTGGACATTAGACAGTATAGTTCTTAGTATAGGTTAAAAAGAAAGAACAATGCAACAGAGGAAAAATTTTGAAGTAAATAATAATGAAAACACAACATATCAAAACTTGTAGGATACAGCTAAGGCAGTGTTTGGAGGAAAATTTTATTATTAAGTGCATAGATTTGAAAAAATAAAAAGGCTAAAAATCAAACAGCTAAGCAACCATCTCAAGAAGTTAGGGAAAGAATAGCATAATAAATCCAAAGAAAAGAAAAGGAGGGAAATAACACGAGTAAGAGCAGAAACCAATGAAACAGAAAATGTATAATAGAATCAATAAAGTTTAAAGAGCTGATTCCTTGGAAAGTCCAAAAAGTTTGATAAAGCCCTAGAAATACTGATCAGGATGATGTTAAAAATAGTTCTACCAATTCACACACTCCACCAGCATTTTCTCAGAAGATCCATTGTTCTAACCAACACTTAGTACTGTCAGTTTTTTTTTCTATTTTAGGCATTTTTGAGGGTGTGTAATGGTATATTATTATGATTTTAATTTTAATTTCCCTAATGGCTTATGTAGTTGAGCTAATTTTTATATGTTTATTTACAATTTGTAAATCATTGTTATTATTTGTTCATATTCTGTTGCAGCATTTAGATGTGACTTTTAAATATACCCAATTATATATATCTTTTTCTTCTGTCTTCAACAGATTTTTAAAAAATCAAATGTAAAATTGAGAAATCATCAAACATTTGGTGATGAAATCTTTTGGACTTGAGTTTGTATTCCTAGGAAAATCTAATATCTGGTCCTCTGCCTTAAGAATTGTGGTTTGGGTCCTTAGTGAGAAAAACCAGTTAAGCAAGCCACTTGGTAACATAAAAATGTCTTCACTGGCACTATTAGTGTCAGGAAGAAATAGTTTCACATCATCCCTTATTTTAAAATGTTATGGGCACACCCCCCCCCCCCCCCCCCCGTCCTCCAATGGCCAAGATACTTTAGTGTGGAAAAGCAGAGTCTTCATTCACTGTCCAATTTTTTTGTATAGCCTGACAAAAAAGAAGTCTATACTCAGCGGGCTCTATGGAATCATATTCATAATTTTCACTATTTTCTTCAATGCTGTGACAGGTGGGTCCCCGTCTTCCATTGAGGCAGAAATTGGCATGCAGGAGATTTATTTGGGGAGTGCTCTTGAGATGAACACCTGTGGGGGAAGGGAAGGATGGAAGATTGAGAAGCGAAAAGTTGAGCTGCAGTGTACCACCACTAGGTCTCATTCAACCCCCCAGGGAGCTCTGGAGATGGAATGGCCCTTCAGATCTGTTCCAAGCTGGGGTTGGCCCTCTGTACCTTGGTGACCAGCCATTGGCTGTGGGCTGTCTTGGAAAAGGACTATGACCTTGGGTGAGATGGGTCTCTTCAGCTTCGGCTATTCAATCTGGTCACTGCAGCACAGCAGCCACTGTGCACACTGAATCAAATTCAGGAGGCATGTTGTTGGCCATCTACCATGCTCTGTGGACACAGCAGTGCTTGGGCTGGCCTTTCGGAGCAGCATCTTTTATTTGAGTAGTCCAGCTCTTTCCTTGCTGTGCTTGTAGGTGGTGATCTATATGAATATTGAACCCCAAATACCTATTCCAACTGACATCATGGCTTATGGAATACCTCATATGCCCAAATATAAGGGAATTGTGTGTAAAAGACAATACTCCCTGAGAAATATAAAACGAAAGCCTTTTGGCAATTTGAATATAATAGAAACTTTTAGGAATGTAAATGAAATAGCCAAATACCTACTTTTAATATTTACTTTGATCATATATATTTAAAATCTCATGTTATAAACTCTCATGCAATAAATTTATCCAAAATCTTCATATGCTTTACCATATCTGTCATCATTCCAGTCACTTTTTGAGTTTTCTAGTGTTTTTCAGAATACACTAACTTGTTTCTATCTAAGTTGTTTAAGATACAGCACTTTTGGAATTTCTATAATAATGATCTTGAAAATTGTATCCTAAGCCAAAAGTCACCATTTACTCTTCGTGAATTCCACAATGTAATCACTTAATTTATTGCTTCTTAAAGTGTTTTCTCTTTCTTTTTTTATTGAGATATAATTGACATATAACACTGAGTAAGTTTGGGGTGTACAGTGTGTCGATTCGATACATTTATACCTTGCAATACAATCACCAGCATAGCGTTAGCTAACACCTCTATCATGTCACAGATTTATTATTTCTTTTTTGTGGTGAGAACAATTAAGGTCTGGTCTCTCAGCACCTTTGAGGTTTATAATACAGTATTGTTGGCTATAATCACTATGCTGTGCTTTAGGTCTCCAGGACTTATTCATCAGCTAGTTGCTAAACTAAGTTTGTACCCTTAAACAACAGCTCCCCAGTCCTCCCACCCCCCCACCGCGAGCCCCTGGTAACCACCATTCTACTGTCTGTTTTTACAAGTTCAGCTTTTTTACATTCCACAAATAAGTGACGTCATACAGTATTTGTCTTTCTCTGTCTCACTTATCTCACTTCTTAAAGTGTTTTTAAAAGGCTTATTCTCAACAATTCCCAACATGTGTAATTGAGAGGTCATTTTGCCATTAATAATTACTAAATCTACGTTAAAATTTTCTTTTTAACTATACCATAACTTACCACTATAAGAATGTAAAACCAGCAATGGCTTCTCCCCATGATATTTATTATTTAAAATAAAGTAACTCAGAGGGCACCCTGTAATATGAGTGATTTTGTAAAGATTCTACTTAAGACATCTGCTTCTTTTCTGAGGGAATCTATTGAGGGGAAAATGCGGCAACTGTGAACTGAATGAAAAACTCTTCCTCTGTATAATGGTTCCCAAAGATACACAGATTGAGACCTGCCTTAACCTCCCAGTCTCCACTGTTAAATTTACCTGCATCATATCTTCCGTCTAGTGGCAGATGAAACTTACGAAAGGTAGGAAGAAGAAAATACAAACACGTCACTCAAAGTTGCTCACTTGTGGCAAAGACAGAGCCAAGTCACAATATTGCAAAGACTGGGAACCTGGTAAAAACAAATGACAAATTGCTGAGGAGGAAAAAAACAGAAGAAGAGGAATGAGCTAGTGGCGACATTCCTTTATCAGAGAAATCAATGGACGTACGCAGTATCAGTGGCCCTCAGCACGGGAGAGTCCAGGCACTCCTCCTGAGCCTGAATCCCTTTCCACAACTACCCATCGGCTGCCTGTCCCCACACCACCGCCGGGTGCTAAATGCAATATTCATTTATCATTCCTCCTTCACTTGGCCTCCCTGTGAAATGTGAAAGATCGCCCCTGGAAACGCACTCCTCTCTCAGACTCACTTACCCAGCTTCTACACAGGTTTCCTCCTCTCTCTCTAAACTCTTCCTTTCAATCTTTTCCAAGGACATCTCTTTTCGTGATTTACCAGTAAACATTCTTCTTGCCTACACTTCCATTGCCTGCCTTCTGCTTAAATACATACGCTGCCTAAGCAAAATTACTTATCCTCCTAGCTTTACTTGTTGCCTGTGAAGTGAAAACCTACAGCCAGACTGTTAGGATTGAAAACCCAAATTAACCCTTAGACGTTCCAGCTGTAGAATCTTGGAAATGGGTCTAATGAAAGGACTGCTCTCACAGGACTGACTATGTCATGATGAAATGAGATCATACATATAACATGCTTAGAACAGTGTCGGGCACATGGAATGTTAACTACTCTTCTTAGCATCTTTATTTCCCCATGCCCAGGACATCTGTACATGCTGTTCCCTCTCCATCCACCCCATTCCCACCTTGTCAGGGCATATGGATCCTTTGAATCCAAAGGGAATCCTTGATGACACCCTGTCCCCTGAGCACTTCAGATTCCTTATACACCCAAGTTGTCCTCGGTTCATTTTTCTTCAGAACACTGAAGTAGTTAGAACTTTATATTTATGTGAGTGATTGTACGATTAATGTATGAAACCCCAAGTACAATAAAAGCTCCAGAAAGGCAACAATCATGTCCATTTTAGATCACCAGATCACCAGCACCCACCAGCACAATGAAATAATTTCAATAGTTGTGATCTGTCATCTCAACTTCCATTTTGGCTTCCATTTCTGATCTAAAATATACCCTGTCAGCTGAACCTTCAAAATAGATCCAGAATCTAACCATTTCTCACGACTTTGCCAGCTATCACCCAGTCTCTCATCGGGGCTGTGACAACAACCTCCCACGTGGTCTCCACCCTTAGCCGCAACAGTCTATTCTCCACCCAGCAGCCAGAGAGATCTTTGAAAAACATAAATGAGATCTTGTCACTCCCCTGCTGAATATCCTCCAATGTCCTTCCAGCTTACTAAGAATAAAATCCAAAATCCTACTGTGCCTACAAGGCTCTCCTTGATCCCGGCCCTAGCTACCCTTGGGATAATTCAAGGAAGGTTTAATAAAGGGACTGTGTGCATAGGAGTGGACAGAATGTAGGGAAACCACAGGGACAGTGCCGTCCCTGAGAGCTGTTGCCACCTGAAGGAGGGAGCGGTTGCAGGACCCTGAGAGTTGGGTGGAGAGGTGTCCTAGGACACCACCAACCAGCCAGAAACCACCCCACAAGGACCTGGACTCACTCACCTTCCTCCATCCAAATGTCTTCTTTGCAAACTGGTGCAGCAACTATGGAAAGCAGTATGGAGTATCCTCAGAAAATTAAAGATAGATCTACCATATGATCCAGCTATCCCACTGCTGGGTATTTATCCAAAGAACTCGAAAACACAAAGGCATAAAGATACTTGCACCCCTATGTTCATTGTGGCATTATACACAATAGCCAAGACTTGGAAGCAACCTAGGTACCCATCAAGGGACGAATGGATAAAGAAGATGTGGTATTTATACACAATGGACTACTACTCAGCCATAAGAAATGATGAAATCCGGCCATTTGTGACAACATGGATGGACTTTGAGGGTATTTTTCTGAGTGAAATAAGTCAGAGGGAGAAAGGCAAATACCATATGACCTCACTCATAAGTAGAAGATAAAAACAACAGCAAACAAACACATAGCATTGGAGATTGGATTGGTGGTTACCATAGGGGAAGGGGGGAGGGGGGAGGGCAAAAGTGGTGATTAGGCTCGCATGTGAGGGGATGGGCTATAATTAGTTTTTGGGTGGTGAACATGATGTAATCTACACAGAATTCAAAATATATTATGATGTACATCCGAAAATAAATAAACAAATAAATTTTTTAAAAACCCAAAAAACAAATGTCTTCTTGGTGCTCCTCATTAGCTGAATCCAACTAGCAGCCATAGAGAACGTTGGTGCTCACCAGTGTGGTCCCTGCAAGTCGATTTCCCATCAGAGAGCAGAGACTAAGGATGGAAAGTAGACTTTGAGGAGCAGATGAAAGGAATCTGGCACAAGTACTTTAAACAGGTCCGGATATCTCTCAAGGGGGCCTGGTGTACGAACATCCTTCTATCTGGATCACCTCTTTCCCTCGTGCCCCCTCCCCAACACTCTCTCCAACCTTCATGTCCCTTCCCTGGGCTAGGCGTCCCTGCTATGTGCCAACAACACCCTGAGCCTCCCCTTACCACGCTCTACAGTAAATATATTAATTGTCTGTCTCTTCCACTGGATGGTAACAGCCATGAGGACAAGCACGCTGTACATCTCATTCATCATTATTTACCCACCAGTAATCTCTATGCCCACCACATCGGCACTTGATCTCTACTTGCTGAACTGAATTAACGAAAATTGTTATTTTATTTTCTTAATCTCTATTTTAGCCAGAGTTATAATACTCATTGACACCCATATTTTTACCACATGTTTGAGCAAAGAACAGGCCCAAGTGCTAGCTTGGACATATTCAAGCCACAAAACTACTGCAGTATTTACTAAATGACACTGTCAGCATTTATAACAACCAAGTCATTATTTTTCTCTTTACGTTATTGTCTATACTCTTGTCTACCATATACACTGAGGATAAGACACTTAACCCTCTTTAGGCCACTATTTTCTTATCTGTGACAAAAGGGAGTTTGGCCAGTTTCCACGGTGTTTTCCAACTCTAAATTTCTGAGGTTCTAGGGAAGCCTGTATAATCTCCTTATGCTCAGTATCCTACTCATCCTTTCATTCCCAGCACTCAGCCCAGGGTTTGGCACACAGCAAGAGCTCTAGAGCACAGCCCTGGGATGTCTCCCTTCAAACGCAGCTCTGCGGCATACTGGCTGGGCAGACCTAGTCAGAGCCTCCGGCCCCTCCTTTGAAAAGTCTGGATAATAATGAGATAATGTTTGCAAAGAGCTGAGCACAGAACCTAACTCCTGGTAAGCTGTCATGGAATGTGCAAGAATGTGCGAGCCAATGAATTTGGGCTTCTAGACCAATTGCCTAGATTAAACGGTAGACTGTGCATTATTTCTTCAGTATCATGTTCTGAAGTGATGTACTGAGTGATTAACACAACTAACTGTTTCTACCCTCCAGTTCATAAGTAGATGTAAATTAGTTCCTTGCATTTGTGCTAAAACACCAAACATTACTAAAATGTACAGTTATTAATTACATAGATATTGCTAATACATTGACAGTAGTGGGCATACACTAAATTTGCCTTATTTTTTACATATAAGTATATATATAAACTGATTATTATACGTCTAAATGAGCAACAGGATGAACATTTCCTGAAAGTTTTTCAGAGGCAAGAATTTTCTGTTTCTAATAAAAAGAACTACTTAGCTATCATATTGTTACCTAATTATTCCAGAACAAAATAGAGTCTGAACTTTCATTAGGTTAAATCAGAGCTGAGGAGTTACATTTTCTTACAAACCAAGTTTCTGATGATCTCATTAAATAAGGGAAGGTGTAACAACAAATGTAATTATCAAATGTGACTTTTTCTGCCAATTTTCCCCCTCAACTGTTTATGCTGTCGGTTTGGCCCATCTGGTTTTCATTTGAGAATAGAAATCACTAATCCTACAAACCATCCACTGGTTCCTAATCCTAGAAAAGACTGGTATTACTTTAGGAGCATAATATGTTTTTCTTTCCTCCTGTGGAAATAAATGTGCAGCTTCAGAGTGGATTGAAAAAGACAATTGAGAAATTTCCTATTATAAACATGTATGGTATCTTAATTTCCTAGTATAACAGCAGGCAGACAAACATAATTAATTGTATTTTAAATGCAAATTGTTGACAACAGTTCATCTGGTTGAAATTATTTAAGCCACATCAACTATAAAGTCCTGCTTGCTAATTCCTAACTTTTTTTAATAAAAACAATTCCAGTCTCTCCCATGCCCAGCAGTCCCTTAAAAATTTTGCATGATATTTAAAGCACCATTGCTGCAACCCCATAGAGACAACGAGGCAAATATAAGTGATTTATATGCAGATTTCAACCTATTTACTGAGCTTAATAGTAAGAGACAAAATATTATATGCAAAATGCGTTCATTTAAATTTTTGATCAGATCTTTCTGCTGCTTGATAGAACAAGAAAGTTATATGGGTATAGGAACAAATACATTTCGGAATAGAAGTCTCAAACCACATTTACTTGTAATGAGAGATCTGCACAACAGTGTGGCTAGATGATCCATGGGTTTCACTTATCTTCTTGACTGACAAGTGTCACTGCAATGTGAATCAATCCTGAAATTTCCACAGCAAGCATTAAAGTGACTGAAATTATGACAGCTCTCAAATCAACAATGCTGTGCAACGCAGAGTGATCACCTCATCTGTAGGATGCTAGCCACGTGTGATATACAAGATAATTTTAGGACGTACACACACATTGGTTAAATTTACAGTTATATTTGTATATCAATGTGTATTCAGAAAAAACCATAACTAGCATGTTGAAACTTTGATTTCATAAGATGTGATCGCTTAGGAAAAGGCTCTGTAGTTAAGTAAAAAGAGACGAGTTGATTAAAGAAAAATATTAAGAAAATAGTGCAAATGGCATACAGAAATGACAAAAAATAGTGATGGTCATTATAGAATGACTAAAATTTGGAGAACACTGACCTAATCCAACCCCTAATTATATAGGTGAGGAAAACGAGGCCCTGAGTGGTTTTAAAGGTTTGCCCAAGATGCTACGGCTGGACAGAGAGAGTTTAGACTCTGTAACTTATATTCCCACACTACGCATAGCATTTAAGACAGACTGTCTTTTCTTTACACTATTTATTCTGGGCTCACAAAGCACACACATTGTTTTTTCCTGGAGGAATGGGTCAATGAGAAATTCAGATAAATTTTCAAGCTATTTATGTATTTGATGTTGTTTCTTTTTATGGAATGACGGGTGGTACAGTTGTCATCTGACCAGAATAAAAAGGAGCTAATGAAAGCTGATCTCACTTTCAGCTACATTTTTTTAATTGAATAAATTTAACATGCAACATTGTATAGCTTTAGGATATGGCATGTTATTTTGATATACATATTTATATTTTATAATATGGTTGCCAGTGTAGCGATATTTATCACACTCCATATTTGTAGCATAATATTATTTTCTAATTCATTATACTGTGCATCAGATCTCTATGGCTTATTCACTACCCTTACAAGGTTGTTCCTTTAGACACCAACAATCTTATCCCCACTCCCGCTCCCCCATTCCCTGGTAACCACCATTTTACTCTCCGGTTTTTACAGTTTTAACTTTTTTAGATTCCACATATAAATGACATCACACAGTACTTGTCTTTCTCTGTCTGACATCTCGTTTATCATTTCAGCTACATTTAAACAGAGTCATATTGATTACATCTGTATTGTTAATTATGAGGATAGACATGGAATATAAGAATGGTAAATTTATAATCCTCTATATATTTTGTTAAGCTGACTTCTGAGCCTTCTTACTAAATTCAACTATGTTTAAAGTCTCACTTTTACCCAATATACTGAGGCTATTGGACATTTTTGCTTTGTATGTGAGGGATATCCTATAGGTTCCTGAAAATGGGGGTGGAAAAAAGTCCACTTATACTTCACTATGTTCCGGAGACGTGTTGGAGCCATCTCCTACCAGATTGTGAGCATCTCTTCCCACCTCAATGTTCAGAGATGTCATACTGGTATCTTGAAATCATTGACCATGGTGGGGGTATTTATACCACAGAAACTGGTAAATGCTACAAATCAGGGCTTCGTCAAGAGAGGCGGTTGTGAAACATTTACCAGCACATCACCTGTTTGAGCGATTTTGAGGGTGGGTGCAAGGCAGACCCTTTCAAAATGAGGCTTGGGAACTTTAAGGAATGATATGCAAATTAACTTTTATACCAGCGGGAGAGGCAGCGCTGGATGCTCTAGGTGAGTGGATAAGCCGAGGTACAGGGAGACGATTTGACTGTGTTTTCTTTGCTTTCTAGGGACTACAGTACAGTTTGAGCCCTGAGGAAAGACAGGTCCAAATAGTCAGAAATGGGTTTTCTTGTTATTCTGCTGACTAGAAAGACACTGCCCAAGTCTCTTTGGAAAGTCAAGATGACAGGTGATGCCTTCTTCAGAAAGACAAATTTCTAGATAAAAATCCTCATGAATGGGCTAGACATGTGCTGTCCAATAGAACTTTCTGTAGTAATAGAAATGTTCTATATCTATGAGTCCAATAAAGTAGCCGCATGCCACCATTTAACATTTGAAATGTGGCTAGTCTGAATTGAGATGTGCCAGAAGGGTAAAATACACACTGGATTTCCATGACTTAGCATAACAAAAGAATGTAAAATATCACATTAAAATGTTTATATTGATTACCTGTTGAAATGATAATCCTTTGAGTATACTATTAAATATTATATATTATTAAAATTAATTTCCCTATTTCTTTTTCCTGTTTTTGATATGGCTGCTAGAAAATTTAAAATTACATATGTGGCCCACATTGTATATTTATTCGACGCCACTGGGCTAGATCACAAAGTTCTGAATCAGGTGCTGGAGAAGGCATGGGGATATGGAACCAAAAGGGAAAGACAGGAACAAACAAAGCTGAGCTGTGCACACCTCCTAAGAAAAATCTTGCAATGCAACCCCTCCTCTTCCACACTGAGCGTTAGAATGCCAGGAAAATGCATAAGGAGTTAAAAATATATTGCAGAGGTGGAGAGGGTGACACACCCAAATATCTGAAACCACGAGCAGTAAATCTGAATCTCGAGGATAATCTTAAACCTTCTTCCTTTGGTCGATAGGATTATGACACTGTTTGAGAAGGTTCTACGGAATTCTGTGAGAAATTAGGGTCAAATTTTCAGCCCTGCTTCCAATATCTATGTCCTATTTCTAGCCTCAACAAAAGAAAGAACATTATTGTGCTTGAGAATTTATGTCAGATCATCACCTACCTTGAAATCCAGCCCCTCTCTTTCTGATGGGGAACCATAAGGCATAGACTAAGGTAAACAGTAAATCAGAAGAATGGCTGAGGCCATATAAGACTCAGACTTCATTATTTAAATTTCAGGTCTTTCATTTCTCAAGAAGTTTTAAGAAACACAACACAGTAATTCAAACGCACTTGACATCAAAGACATATTTTTTGGTCCATTTTTCGGAAGTAGGCTCAGCTTCTGAATCTGTCATCAAAAGCATCTCATGGAGGGCAAAAGCTGCAGTCAGTGGAAAAAGTTTAATTTCAACATTTCAAAAAAAGGAGGGTTGGGGAGGAGAAATTTATTTTTTATACTGCGTAGAAATCCAAACTTTCAAGACTTCAACTGCCCACTTTATTAGCATCTTAGGAGTTAATGAGACAAATCATATTCTAATTAGGAAACTCATATCCCACCATCCACACCATCTGCAAAACCACGAAGAGAAAGGCACACCATGAACCCCTGAGAGGCAGGGTGGCTGGGACACAAATTCCTACTTTCTCAGCAGCTCCTTCTGCGACTCTAACATTCACCGCAGAGAGTGGGAACTGTACAAACAGACGCTGTGTTTCTGAAGACGTGAATGACTCACGGCAAGATGGTGGTAAGCTGGGGCTGCTAGCACAGAATGACTGTGCGTGCAAACATGAAACTCAACAAACAGCTACCACTCCAGACAAACGTATTTTGTAAAATATTCAGCAGCAAGAAAAATGTGTGAGTGCCTTCGAGTAAAAGCCCTGTTACCTGATATTGGGAAGATGGAGGGACGTTAGCTAGTCCAAAGGTCCGCACAGCAAATCTGGCTAATTCATGTTGACCTCTCCCCCGCTGTAAGTCTCAGGTTATTTCTCCCTTCTTTACTTCCTTTTAACTTTGCGAGACCTATACATATGTGGACAGGAAATAATTTGTAAACAGAAAGTATTGATTTTTGCAGAAGCCCTGTAAGGCAGACATCTATGGCTCCCTTCCTTTTCATCCCCGGGAACAAGAGGAATGAGAAAAACATTAAGACACGGACAACCATCAGGGAGAAGAGGATCTCCTGCGGCCAGTCCTGTGCTCTCTGCCCTCTCCTTTGCCATGTCCTCTCCAAGGTTTCACACAGGCTCCGAGGATCTCTGCGAGCCTGTTCTCCTTCTGCTGAGTCACCCAAGCACACAGCAAATATTAAGCAACTTCTATGTGCAAGTCCTGGACTAGGTGCTGAGAGAGGGGGCTGTGGGGAGGGAGGGGGAGAGAGAGAGATGCAAAGACAAATAAGATACAATAACTCTCTTAAAAGAACTTAAAATCTAGGGGAGGTAGATGCGAAGATTGTAATAAAACATCCAGTGTATCAAGTGCTGTGATTGTGTGGCAGGCAATTAGAAAATGCCCTAGGAGAGGGTATGTCTCCATGTGCCTGGAGGTCCCATGAGTACTCCTTTGGAAGTCTCTTCCCAATGAATCAGGAGGCCTTTTGGGAAGAAGGAATCACAAGGGGAGATAAAGATGCATAAGATGGCTGCAAATTCAGTGCTTCCAGCTCAGAGTAGATGAGACAGGTTGAGTACAACATGGCCTTCAGCCATGTCCCTGAGTCTTAAGGGTTGAGGCCCGAGTGGATAAAATTTTTCTATCAATAACATGTCCATGGGGCATCTAGTGCCCAAGGTCACATTGTTTCTTTGTTGGTGGAAGAGTCCTTCTCCCGCTGAGGTCATTTTTGGATCCCATATGGACATGGCACTGACCCACTGTTTTAAGCGGCTGGATAGCCCAGCCAGAAGCTGCATCAAACGAGATGTATGAGAGGACAACGTATGTCAGCCATTGTGATCATCAATGGCATCCTGGTGGCCTCAGAAGGTAGGAGTTCCTTTGGAAGGCTTCTCTTTGGCAGCCATCAGCGATATTGTCCTGATAGCAACTGGCAGCATCACAGGTGGCAGAACAGGAGTAGGGGAGATGAGAGACTCTGGAGGACAGGCTAACTGCAGACAAACAAACCTGGGGCATCTCAAGGAGTCTGTGTTCATTTATGACCCAACTGTTTACTGGGTGTCACCCATGTGCCCAGGACTGGACTAGACCCCAGGGATACAGTGATGAAACAGGCAGACACTGGCCCCTGGCCCAAATGGCTTATGGGTTGCTTGGGGCAAACAGATATTAACTCACACTTGCATAACTGATTATTTCATTGGGTATGTGCTATAAAAGAAAAGTACTGAATTGAGAAAATATAAAGAGGTTAGGGTCAAGGTCATCTGAGGGATTATAAAATGCTTCCTTGAGGCAAGAAATAGGTGGGCAAAGACAGCGGGGTGGAGAAGCTCCTACAATTGCAGGCAGGGACAGGACTGGAGAAAAGCTGGTTGGGACTGCTTTTTGGCTCTGTTATTGCACCAAGTCTACGTACACTCAAAAACCCAGGTTACAAAATATATAAACAGGGAGCTGGGGAAACCCTTGGGAAATTGACTTGCAAGATTGGGAAGGCTTCTTAGAAGAGGTGGCATTTTAACTAGGCTTTGAAATACAATAGGGTTTTGACAGGCGGAGGATAGAGGCAAATAGCATTCCAGAAGGAGAAAGAAAAAATAAAAGCAAAGACATTAAATATGAAGGGATGAGATGAACAATTACATATATATGTATATAACACACACGCACACACATTTACATATATAACCCAATACCATGAAGTAGTTGTTATTTCCGTTTTTCAGATAAGGAAATAGAAGCTCTAGAAGATGAAACTGAAAGCTCTGAAAGACTTGCCCAAAGTCACCAGGGCATTAGGTGATAGAGCCCTAATTTAAACCCCAGTCTAAAGCCTCATGTTGCCTTCTTGAAAGCACATGGCACATAATAAGCTGGCTGTCATTACAGATATAAATGTGGAACAGCAGAAATGATCATGCTAATGTGCCCAAGGGCAAGTGAATGAAGAGGGAGGTAATGGGAGACGGGATGGAACAGCAGGAAGAGGCAAGGATTGAAGGGTTTGAAGGGCTGTTAATATAGCCCTTGGGCCATGGGCATCAAATGGTCAAACAGCCAAGACTCAGCCAGCTCCATTCTCCCAGGACCCCGTCAGGTGGAACCCACTGTTTCAGGGCCTCAAGGAATTTGTCCAGAATCAAAAACAATGCGAAAATAGGAGTGGATTATAGACATATATGAATGATGGTTCACAACACTCTATAATTGAGGCAGAAAGCCTGAATTTTAAGGGTAGAGGTCTGAGAAACTGCAGACAAGATAGTGTGAATGCTTTTAATGAATTAGCACATTTCAGCACCAATACAAAAAGGGGTGATGAATCTCATGTGGACAGGGGGAAGTTTCCAGAAGTTAACTGCAGACAATGTTGAGTGATGAGAGGGAAGAACACTGGCGATGTAAATACAGGATGCTGGCTGAGGGCACTGAGGAGAGGTGAGTGGTTAAGATCACAGCTGCGTATTGCACACCACAGGTCATGTTAGTAACATGCTTCGTTTCAACCGATGTTTGTTAACACACTGTCCCATAACTGAGTATAGAGATTCAGCCACAGTATTTCTTTAGAAATTTTGCAATAATCCCTTTTTATTGTCGTTCTGATTTTAGGAACTCTTTCAGATTTTTAAAGAAGGGAGATCTAATCAACAGGTATGGTCTCTATGATTTTGTCCTGGTAAAAATGCTTCAGAGAATTTGCTTCCTAAGGAGAGAGTTGGGGCAAAGTGGGGGTAGGGCTGGGGTCATTCCTGTCTGGATAAGCCAGATGAACATCCCTTATATTAAGGAATTTCATATTTATTCTGTAGGAGACAGAGTCATCAAAAGCATTTGGCTAGGGGGTGTGACATAATCAGCTCTGGATTCTAGGAGGAGAATTCCTCCTCCTAGAAGGATGGATTAAGCCTTTCATACACTTTACTTTATCAAAACTTACCTGCTCCCTTTAATCAGTACAAGGGTGATGTGTATTATAATGGGTATCCTAGTGTTTTATTCCTAGTAGCTAATAAAAGATAATTAAATTGAACTTCAGTTGAATTGCACTGTTCCTGGAAATGCAATGACAATCCTCCAAAAACCTGGCTTTCTTATGAAGAGTATTTCAAGTTCTAGGAGAGGAGAAAGCAGAGGAAACATCTTGAAGAAGGAAAAGATTTGGTACTAAAACCACCACCAAGCAAGTCAGCCTTTGTTCTGCCATGCAAGTTTTCCACCGCTGCAGATCACTCAGATGTTTTTGCTTCAGTATGGGATAGTGCATTCATTTGAATACTTACATTTTAAAATAGCAGATTTTTCCTAGAACTTTTTTTCTGCGGTAAATTTCTGGAAAACGCAGCTCTTACTGTATTTAAATCAAGTTGCTATAACTGTAGGCTTGAACGTGCCTCTCAGCTCTCCCATCTTTCACAGTTTTAACTGGGACTGGGGTCTGTTCAGAATGGACATGGACTTTGGGTAAGAATCTGTATAATAGATCTCTCAGTGGAGGCCGAAAAATAGATTTCATTTCAAGACTTCTCTGTGTTTAAAGTGTTTGAATGAGTGTTGGCTCTCTTGTTTTCTACTTTCTGAAGTATGCTTACCACCTGGCACATTTTTTCCTTTCCTTCTTTGAATATCTATTCAATCATTCAGCTATTCATTTAACAAATACTGCTTGAGGTGTACTGTGCCCCAGGTACCCAGGGGTAGAGAGAGGAAAGGTCCAATATTTGCCATCCAGGACTGTATGGTCTAGTGGGGAAGAGAATGTGATAGAGGCATGAAGGGGGCTCCAGAAGCTCAGAGGAGCCATGTATATCAGAGATTGCCCAGTCAGGGACAATCTCAGAGGACCTGGTGCTTGAGCTGGGTCTTTAAGATGAGTAGATGCTAGTGTCATGAAGAGGAAGAGAGAATCCTAGACAGAAACAAAGAGATACATTTCCTCTTGACCCTTTGAAATTCTTATCCCACATTAATTCTCTTTATCTTTTTTAAAATTAATCATCCGAAGTGGATAAAGGTGGAGGGGAAAGCACTAGAAAGCAGCAAAGGAAAAATATTTTTGAAAATGTTTTTATCAAATGCCAAAAGAATATGGGACTCTGTGTATGTTCATAAAGAATGCAAGTATGTAGAAGACTGGGCTGTATCTTTCTATATCATGAGTAATTCCTGGACCTGCCATGAGTTTTACTTTCTCAAGCTAGAAATTGAGCTCTACGTACTCAGTAGATCATCTGCCTCTACTGCCATACTTTCTTTGTTCATCATCTTCTGTGAATGCCTTGCATTACCACTCAGGGCATTGGTAATGTGCAGTCTTGAAAGGTCTTTGACAGTGAAGACCTAATGAAAACCACAAGGGAGATGGGAAGGAACAGATAAGTAAGGGGCATCACATTTCTAGGGCATAATTCCACAAAATATATTCAACTCTCCAAAGGCATTAGAAAGATTGGTTGGGTTTGGGGGAAGTGTGGAGGGGTTTAGAGGGAAGGTAGACACTGTTTTTGTAAAACTGATTAGGTGTTTACTGCTGGTGAGTCCCAGGATTGATCTTAATGAGAACCCTGTATCTGAGGCTCTTAGAACTGATGATAAACCTGCGCAGCAGTGTAGGGAGGGACCAGACATCGATTTGTGCACGGGAGGCAATTTTGCTATTTTAAAATCTTTTTGAAATGCAGTCCTTGTGAGGTTTTCTTTTTTCTTTAAAGAAACACCAGCTAATGTGCATGGATAATTATTTTTAAATCCTTAAGAAAACAAAATAAACTACCGTTGTGATGCTTTTCACTATCAGTCTATACTAAAAGATTCATGGCCCATATTGATTTTTCTTCCCCCAAAGACATCTCAATTTTCAATAAGCCTTTACGCCCCCATCTT